TTTCAGTGAAGACTTATAGTCTTGGGAATCCTACTCTGTCCTATAGAGTTACTATGAATTGGAATTGATTTCAATGCTAGTGAATTTTGAGGATTTGTGGGGTCTTTTTGGTTTTTAATAAACTCATTTCCATACATACAAGGTCCCTAAAAAGGCGATGGAATGTGGTTGGTAAGGAGCAGATTATGAAGGCCCTTAAGAGCTGTGTTGAAAGAATTTGTACTTGACCCTGAGGACATTGGGGGTGCTGGGGACATAAAAATCATGCCACCTCCTGGGAATCTGCTCCCCAGTGTAGAAAAGTATTCTTGAATAAGTGAGATAGTGTATTGTGCCAGCCTGGCCGATAAACACAAGTGGGATTAACTGAAGGGCAGAGAGATAAATGGCTTGGTGAGTCTCGCCTTTCTTGTCTCTCGCTCTTTGATCATTGGACCAGTGTGCGGCTGCCTTGCTTGTCCTGTGCCTCAATTTAAAGGCTACACTACCTGTGGGACGCCTAGCCTGTGGACTGTGTCGCTGTAAGTTGAGGTCCCTTTAAGACATCGCTGGAGCTGGGGACTGGCAGTTGGTGACCTGGCTGGCAGTTGGTGACCTGCCTTCTGATTGGCTGCTGTGCTGACATAGCCTAGCTCTCTCTATAAATAGAGGAAGATCTGGCAGCAGACAGAGACTTGAAGGACTGCTAGTCTCTCTCAACCTTCTCTCACAGGAGTGAGTTGCATTGAGCCATTTGTAGTGCTTTATGATTTAACTGTTTATTTCTTGTATTATATGTTTATCTGTATATGATTTAACAGTTCATTTCTTGTTATATATCTAATTATCTTTATAAATGAATATGTTAAATTATCAGCAATTTGGTTTTCTCTCTCTAGAGAACCCTGTCTAACAAAATAAGCGTGCTGTTGTGTAGCATTGAGTCGAATTCTGACTCCTGGCTAACCTGCTTGAGTAGGGCTGTACCACAGACTTCCCGAGGTTATAGCAGATCCTCAGGTCTTTTCTCCTGCAGACCACAGACCGTTCCCTGGGCAGCTGAGCATTTAACCATTGTCCCAGCAGGGCTCCTTTCACGGAGCCTATAGGAGATGGAGATTACAGGACAAAAAGATCATCTATCTTGTCTATACAGCTAAGTGGTACAATTCTATTTTATAACCATTATGCACATAAGTCCTCCATGTTAACACCATCTTGTGTTCTCATAAAGATGGGACTGCACACGTTTGACAACCTCTTCCAAATTCTGCTTAAACCCATCTGGTAATCAAGGTAGCAATTTCTTTTAGCTAACTGCCTTTATCCAAAGGAATAACAAAGCTCTTACTTGTGTGACAGGCAGATGGTGATAGCTCAGAGAAAGGAGCCTCAGTTGACTCCGCAAAGAGATTGAGTGCAGTTTTCTTGGCATTTGAAAGGGACAAGGCCCAGACCCTTGCAAAAACACACTACAGGTTCTAATGCTGACAAGAGGCTTACTCCGCTTTTCACTGGGATTTTTCTCGATGGTTGGGTTGAAAGGACAAGGAGGTAGGACACTGTCAAAGAGTAGCTGAGACGATGGCTCACGGGACCTGCAATAACTCGGGAGGGAAGTGAAGTGGGAGAGACAGAGTTCAAGACATAGAGGGTCACAGGCAATCCCTGCACTTCGCACGTGGTTGTTAGGTGCCACCGTGCCCGCTCTGACTCACAGCAACCCCGTGCACAGCAGAACCGAGCACTGCCCGCCCCTGCGCCATCCCCATAGTGGCTCCTGTGCCTGGGCCCAGTGGTGCAGCCACCTCATTGTGGGCCTTCCTCTGCTTCGCTGCTCCTCCACTTTACCAAACATGGTGCCCTTCTCCTGACAGCATGTCCAAAGTATGTAATACCAAGTCTTGCCATCCTTGCTTCTCAGGAGCATGCTAGCTGTGCTTCTTCCCAAACAGATCTATTTGTTCTTTTGGCAGGCCATGGTACTTTCAATATTCTTCTCCAGCCCCGAACGTCAAAGGCATCAATGCTTCTTTGATCCTCCTTACTCCATGTCCAACCTTCACATGCATAAGCTTCTTCCAAGACAGATCGATTTGTTCATTCCTTTTAGCAATCCATGGTCCTTGCAGTATTCTTTGCCAGCACCACAATTCAGTGGAAGATTGGGTAAACTATAGTGCGTGCACACAATGGAATATTATGTAATAAGACCATCCATCTGGACAAACAGCATGGGGGCCATATCCGACCACCTCAGACTTCAAAAGGGAGAGTGATAGTGACCCTCTAGGCCAGGGTAGAACTGCCCCTGTGGGCTTCTGAGTCTGCAAATCTGGAGTCTTTCTTGATTTACTTTCATTTACAGAGTGGCAGATGCATTTGAACCACTGACCTTGTGGTTATCAGCCCAAAGTGTAACCACTATACCAGCATGGCTCCTCCTCCCCACAAGGGAGAAGGGGCATTCCATTCCTCACCAGCCCAAGGGCTATTGCCACCAGGCAGAGGTCAGACATGCCTTGACCTTCCATCCTTTTTTTTCCCTTTATTTGGAAACAGCCACTCCTACAACATTCTACTTCTCTGCTGGTATTGATAATCCATTGCAATGGCCACCCAGAATTTATTAGCGATTACTCACAATTATGGGGGCTTATTGGGGATGTTAACAGGTTATCTATCACTAGTCAGCTTTGGTCAACAGTCAGGATTCTGCCATTGTTTTACAGCCCTGCTTTGGTCACTCTCTGGTCCTTAACCTCTTAGCCATATGGTCCCTTGGCTTCTGCCTCCATCGGCCAGGAAGTCAGCTATTGCTCTGCCTCCCAGACTCATGCATTGCTCCTCTGCTCTGTCTCTTGGTCTCATTGCCTCCTCCTCTGTTCTCGCCCTGGCTCCTGTGCTCTGCCCCCAGCCTCTGTGCTGCAGCCTCTGGTCTCAGCCTCTGCCACTTCGAGATCTTGAACATGCGTCCTGGTGGCTCTTCTTTCTTGATGGTCCTGGGATTTCCCTCTTCATGCTTCTGAGATAACTCGTTATTATAGCCACAGGAGTGACCTCTAAAATGGCCCAGACCAAACACTATTGATGTTTCACACACCCCACCATATGCTGGGAGTTACAGAGGTGTGGATAGAAGAGCCATATTAAATTTCCCTTCACCTCAACCTGCAACATGCCTCGCCATAAACCTGGAGGGCATTATGCTAAGTGAAATTAGTCAGTCACAAAGGACAGATGTTATGAGGCCACTTGCAAAAAGTCAAGAAAAGGTTGTCCTAAAACATTCCCTGCTGCTTGCCATGGAAGGGAGGGTAAAGCACTGGCTAGAGGGTAGTCATGTTCACTCGGGTGGTTGGGAAAGCAGCATGCATAAAAGGGAGGTCAGTAAAATGCAGAAAGCAGCGGAAGACTTTGAAAGGAGGGCAAAGGTTAAAGGCAACAGAAGTAAAGACGGCATACACCGTCCTTCTATAGTGGTGTTCGAGTAGAAGCATGGATAAGCACAATAGCCAACTGGGTGTGGGAGGGAGAGGGAGAGCATGTATACGCACAAATATATCTAGGTCCGGCAGGATATTTACACCATTGTGTTTACCTTTGCTGCAAATATGTCCATGAATGTGATGAAGCATTGTGTTGGGCTGGGCCGTCTGGAGAAGCAAAACCAGTGATGTCCACATATGTATAAGAAATAACTTTCTATCATAAGGAGTCCAGTTCAAGTCCATGGGTCCGGTGGTGGCCAGAGCCCTCTTCAGAGTCACATAACAGGAAAGTTACAGGCAGGTGGGCAGAATTATGTGGGTCCAAGGTCATTGGGAACATGACAGTGTACCAACAGCTCCCAGGATGCAGCAGCCCACATCAGGCTGCCCCAAGAGGTAGATACAGAATCCGAGCAAGCAGGAGGGCAAGAGAAAGAAGTTCTCACTGCCTCTCCTATAAAAAGCCACACCCCCAATGAGGCATCATCAGACTCTGACCTGATATAAAAAGCCACACCCCCAATGAGGCATCATCAGACTGTGACCTGATAGACAGATTAGACTCTATCCCTACCCCCACACAGGTAGCATCAAGTTAACAAAACCATTACAAACATATAAGTAGCAAAGTTAGGAAAACTTCTGAGACAAAACCAAAAACTTGAAGGAAAGGAGTCACGAGCCTGGGAGGTCAAGACTCAGTTGGCATGGCGTGGTTCACAATGACAATGTCCTCCATCCTAATGTGCGGAGTAGGTTGAGGTCTTAAAAGTTCATGGGCAGCTAGCTGTCCAAGGTACAAGGATTGGTTTGTCTCAGGGAGGAAGGAGCAAAGAAAATGGAAGATGTGTGGAAACAAGTAGTCCCATGGACTAATGAACCACTCGAATATCAGACTCCACAACTCTGAGACCAGAAAAACTAGACGGCGCCAACCAGCCACTCTGAAAGTGCCCACTTTAGAAGGTCCTCAATGGAGTAGGAGAAATATGTGGAACAAACACAACATAATTAAAAAAAAAATACTCAGCTTGCCGCACAGGTAGGGACTAGTGGGACTTCTGAGACTAGTCACTTAGGGGGTTTGAAAGTGAACTTGCACCAGTGGGTCAATTTCAGCCAGATGACAGGTCTGTGTGGGGAACAGTAACACGAGGGAGGTATGCACACCGTGGGATAATCGATCGTGTGAAATCTGCAGGGCAGCATTTGACCCAGGGATGACGTTAGAAGAGTGCGGAAGGGAGCAGGCACGTGTCCACCGTGAAGCTTGCAATCAGTGAGGCGAGGCGCTGCGTAGGAATTGCCCCGTGGAAAAGGGATGCTCAGCACTGTGACCTCCCAATTCATAAGAAAAGGCAGTTTTTGCTTGTAGGAGTTTCCTCGCTTATTAAATGGGGTCAGAGGCTGGAGGTCTTGAAGATTAAGGTAAAATAGGGGTGTGCCAATCTTTTTGCTGTGTGTAATGTGGTTTGAGTCTTCACTCAGATGATAGTTTTATTCTACCAATTGTTCTTTTCACATTTGCAGATTGCTCACAGTCTCGTAGTAAAACAAGCCACGATGTCCGTCAATCCAATGACTTACGAGGCCCAGTTCTTCGGCTTCACACCACAAACTTGCATGCTTCGGATCTACATTGCGTTTCAAGATTACTTGTTTGAAGTGATGCAGGCTGTGGAGCAGGTTCTTGTGAAGAAGCTGGATGGAGTCTCAAACTGTGACATCAGCCCCATCCAGATTCGCAAGTGCACAGAGAAGTTTCTTGGCTTCATGAAAGGACGCTTTGACAGCCTTTTTGGTAAAATGGAGCAGCTGTTTTTGCAGTTAATTTTGCATATTCCTCCAAACATTTTGCTTCCTGAAGACAAATTCCAGGAGCTACATTCTTATAGTGAGGAACAGTTCCAGCTTCTTAAAGAGGAAATCGAACAGTTACAGGAGAAGTATAAGACTGAATTATGTGCTAAGCAGGCCCTTCTTGCAGAATTAGAAGAGCAAAGCGTTGTCCAGGCCAGACTGAGACAGACATTGACTTTGTTTGATGAGCTTATAAATGTTGGCAGACACCATGGCACTAGTGATTTTAGGGAGAGCCTGGTGTCCCTGGTCCAGAATTCCAGGAAACTACAGGACCTTCGAGGCCATATAGAAAGGGAAGGGGCAAGCCTGGAGACGTCGTGAGTTTCCCAATGGAGAAAGGAAAGAGCCTGTCCGGAAGAAAAGGTGGGAACTTGTGTTAATGTCTAAGAGAACCAAATCTTTTGCTGGAGTTTCTTTTCGGTCTTTCTTTAGGGGCCCCCTCACCCCCACTCCATCTTCCTTCTTGGCCCGTTTTCCTAAAATGTCTCTGACCTACCCTAAACTCCTCCTTGAGGCAGTTGGTCCATAGAGACAATGTGTCCCTAAATGGCAAGGGATTCTCAAGTCTGTCATGGCCCATGTGGGGCATGAGGAAAGAAGTTACGGTCTTCCCCGACCAGCCTTAAGGTATTTGTAGAAGTATACCTTGGTCATTTTGACATTATTTGGCTGAGACCTGTTGTTTTCACGTGTGACTCCCCTATTGGCTGGCAGTACATTGTGAGACAGCCGATACAGGGTGTTCTTTCTTGTCTTTTTTTCCCCCTTTCGCTTTGTCACTTAATCATTTTCTGGTTCCATCACCTAAAACCAAATTTGTCTTCAAGTTGCGAGGGTAGAAATTGCTGGGGCCTTCTAGGTTGGTTTTGGGAAAGAGGTGGTCCATGGCCAAACTTCGGCTGTTCAAGGTGGGCCAACCTGGTTTTCGTGGCTGCACGGAGTTCTGGTCCCAGGCAACGGCTTCCTCGGGGGGAACTGCCAGTCAGCGGGGCCCTCAGGTGCTGCTTGACTTGGTCCCAGCCCGCCAGGTTTTTCTCCATGCTCTGTCTGGACTTTCCACCTGCCTGCCGCCTGGTCTCTATGACTACAGGTTCCTGAGCTGTGGTCTCTTCCACCCAGTGGGGGTGCTGCTGTTGGCAGCGGTTGATCCTTCTGGCTGCCTGGGGCTCTTGACCATGGCCGCAGTACCCCGTGGGCACTGTAAGACCTCTGACTGGCGTGCAGGCTGTTCTTTTCAGAGATCTGTGTGACCAAGCTGCCCACCTGCTCCTGCAGTGTGGATACCTTGGTGTCTGAGTTTATGGACTCCTTCACTATATGGGCCTCCCAGGGAAGTGGGGTACTCAGCATTATTGATATGTAACACACATACACACACACACACACACACACATATATAAAATACACATTCCGTTTCTCAACCTGGTCCTAAAACTTAGTCACCACAGAACACATCTGTGGATCTGTGGCCCTCGAGGCTTTGTAGGCCCTGACTGTGTCCTTATTCACCACATCATGGCTGCAACCATGTTGACCTTGGAGAGCATTCTCTAGGAGATTGCCAGGTCCCTCTCCTTCATGGCAGTAATAGATAGAATTTTCCAACCTTAACACTCATGATAGACTTTCTTAATTTTAATTGCAATACCTGGGCCCAGCCTCTACCACGCTGATCTGTTGACCCAGCTGCCTTGCTCTTAACCCTCAGTTGGTTCAGGGCATGTTCCAAGTCCCATGTGTGGGTGGGGGCAGTGTGGCTGGGGAAGGTTGAGGTCCAGGCCCCCAGTGACTTCTTACATGAGGAAGAAAAGAAGTAAGCAGGAAAGACAACCTTGACCTTTAGTAAAGGAGTTTTCATTTTTAAAACAGATCCTTTCCATGACCAAGGCCTTGGTGATGTTAAGCCGTTGATTATCTTGCACCCCAGGAATAGAAGACCCTGGACAATAAAGAAGCAGATCCCACTGGAACTGGAGGAGGAAGCCTGAAACAGAACCTAGTATCCTGATGGTTACGTATTTAAACCAGTCTATATTTTTTCATTCCTCAGTTCATTTTGAATTGCCTTGTAGCTAATTTATTGTAAGTTGTTTATTCAAATTGTAATTTTATTCACTCTCATTCCCCCAACAGGATGAAGTTTTAATCAAATCTTATGCTTAAATTCAATGGCATGTGAAATTTCTTTTTGTAACTATAATCCATGTGAAATGTTAGATTACCTAAGGAAGAGGGAGAAATAGCAATAGCTGCTCGTAAGCTACTGCCTGTCCTTCATCTCTTCCTAAAGAATAGAATTTGGAATTCATGTAGAGAAGGGGCAATTTAATGATTAATATTTATAATTAAATAGATATAGGAGGCCTATGTTTGTGTTTACCTGTATATATGTGTGTGTGTGTAAAGCAGTCCCTTTCCCAATCTTGTTTGTTAAATACATGATGATTTCAAAGCATTTTATTAAAATTGCCCCCCAAAAGATATGTCTATTTTTTATTTCCCAGAACCTGAATGTTTGCCATATTTGGGCAGAAGGAGATCTTTGCAAATGTAATTAAGGATCTCGAGGAGGCCATCCTGCTGGGATATCTGGTGGGCCTTAAATCCAAAGGCAAAGATCTTTGTAAGAGAAACAGAGAATCAGTATGACCCTGGAGTGAAGCAACTCCAAAGCCGAAGAATCCAACAACCCCTGCATGCTGCAGGAGGCGGGGAGGATTGTCCCCTATAGCGTCTGGAGCGGGTTCTGCCCTGGTTGCAGACTTCTGCCCTTCAGAACTGTGAAAGAATGTATATGGGTTGTTTTAAACCACCATGTTTGTGGTAGCAACAAGAAACTAATACACCTCGTGAAATCAGAATAAATATTCTTAAGGATGAAGACTGCTGTTGTGTAGCGACTTTCTTAATATGGCCGTTCTAGCTATAGTCCTTGTGACTCTTTTACAGCGATAGGTGGTGGTAATTAGTGGCTGTCCAGTTGGTTCTGACCCAAAGCCACCCCACGTACAACAACAAAACACCCAATCCTACGCCATCCTCACAATTATGTTTGGCCCATTGTAACCACTGTCTCAATCCAGCCAAATGTCTTCCTCTTTTCACTGCCCCTTCACTTTACCACGATGCCCTTTTCCAGGGACTGGTCACTCCTGATAACATGTCCAGAGTGTGAGAGGAAGCCTCGCCATGCTTGCCTCTAAGGAGTATGCTGGCTGAACTTACAAGACAGGTCTGTTTGTTCTCTTGGCAGTTCGTGGTACTTTCAGTAGTCTTCAGCACCGCAATGAAAAGGCGTCGGTTCTTTGGGCTTCCTTATTCAGTGTCCAACTTTTGCAGTGTTTGAAAATACCATGGCTTGGGTCAGATGTACTTGAGACTTCAAAGTGACATCCTTGCTTTTCAACACTTTAAAGAGGTCTCGTGCAGTAGATTGACCCAATCCAATGCATCATTTGGTCTCTTGATTGCTACTTCCCTGAGCATTGATTGTGGATCCAAGGAAGATGAAATCTTTGACAACGTCAATCTTCACTGTTGATCATGATGTTACCCTTTGGTCCAGTCTGAGGATTTTTGTTTTGTATACACTGAGTCATAATCTACAGTGAAGCCAAAATCTTTAATCCTCAGCAAGTGCTTCCAGTATTTCACCTTACTGGTGAAGCACTCACTAGTCTGCTGAGAAATGTGGAAGATGGGTAACTAGTCGACCAACTGGAAGAGATCCCTATTTATATCCATTCCAAAGAAAGGTGATCCCACAGAATGTGAAAATTAGCAAACAATATCATTAATATCACATGCAAGTAGAACTTTGCTGAAGATCATTCAACAATGGTTGCAGCTCTACATTTACAGAGTTGCCAGAAATTCAAGCTGGATTCAGAAGAGGGCGTGGAACACGGGATATCACTGCTGATATCAGGTGAATCTTGGCTCAAAGTAGAGAATACTAGGAAAATATTTATGCTTTATTGACTGTGCAAGTGCATGTGAATCATAACCGGTTATGGATAGCGTTGAAAAGAATGGGAATTCCAGAACACTCCCATGTGCTCTTGTGGAACCTTTATGGGGATCAAGGGGCAGTCATTTGAACAGAACAAGGGCATACTTCATGGTTTGAAATCAGAAAAAGTGTAAGCCACGGGTGTATCCTCTCGCCGTACTTCAGTCAGTCTGTATGCTGAGCAAATAATCCAAGAAGCTGGACCATGAAGAACTCAGCATCAGGACCGGAGGAAGGTTTATTACCTTTGTTATTCACATGACACAACTTTGCTGAAAGTGAGGGGGGAAATGACCGGGAGACTATGCCAATCTGGTCCTTGTCCACCAAAAGGATGTAAAAGCTCGCTGCCAATGCAGAGGATAATGGAGCCCTGGGATGGTTCTTTGACAGCTGGGCTGTGATTTCCAGTGGTTCAGCAGTTGTATAATAAAGTTGCCTTCCTCAGTTGTGTGATATAACAAAATAACAAATCTTAGTCTTGATGCCTGTGATCATTGTCCCATTTGGGAGTGAATCGTCCATTATGCTACTGAGGCAGGATTAAAATGCAATGTATCTTGAGTCCCCACCGTCCTACCTTTACCTTATTCACCAGACTTCCTGCCCTTAATTCAAGGCACACCCTTGCCTTGCTCAGGAGACTAACATCTTGAGGTTATGTCCTGCATCATTATACATACACATACACACGCAAAGGAGTACCCCCACCAAAAAATGGAATTTTTTTTTAACAAAATAACCTTATCACCCTCAGAGTACTCTCCATTACACTTAATACATTTGTCAGATCCGGGATTCTATTGTGGAAACAGTTTTCAAACATGTGTTTAGATGGCTGACAGTACCTCCCTTTTCCCCCCACCTCTCCTATGTCATCAAATCGCTGTCCTTTCATGTCCTTCTGCATTCATGGAAACCAGTCACATGTAGATGGCTGCATGAGCAGGTGCATTGTCATGGTGACAAAACCAGTCTCCCGCCTGCCACAAATCAGGCTTTTTTTGTTGTGCACTTTAAAAAAAAATCATTTTACTGCGGGCTCATACAACTCATCACAATCCATACATCAGTTGAATCAGGCATGCTTGTACATGTTGCCTTCATTCTTTTCTAAACATTTGCTTTCTATTGAGCCCTTGGTATCGGCTCTTTCTCCCTCCCCCCCACCCTCATAACCCCCTGATAGATTGTACATTGTTATTTTCATCCCTCACACCGCTCTTGCTGTTTCCCTTCCCCCATGTTTTCTGTTCCCCCCTGTACAGGGGTGTATGGTTATGTGTCGATCATTGTAATCGGGTCCCCTTTTCTCCCTTTGTCACACACTGTTATGCTATCTTTTCAGAACCTCTAAATAGAAAGCTTGATTAACAGTCTGACCTGCTGGAACAAACTACATGCACTTCGAGTTGACATTTTCATCCGTTCAGGAAGTTGACGGACATCCAGAACAAGGTTTGTCATCAATCGACATTTCACCTTTATTGAAATGAGAAAACCATTCGTACACTTGATTTTTTTTCCCATAACGCTGTCCATATAAGCGGTATTCAACATCACGACTGTTTCTGCAGCTTTTTTCCCCCCGAGCAGGAAAAAAAAAATTCACAGCCACATGCTGTTCTCTTCAGTCAGCCATCACAAAAAAACGAGGTTTGAGCAAAATTGCTTTTATGAAAAAGTGACCAGAGAGAACCTTCCCAGGTGATGCCACTGGGTGCACTAACTCAGAGGGAGTTGCTGGGTGCTCGCCTAGTGAGAAATGATTAATACTAAAGCTCTACCCAGCAGAGCTTTTTCTAGTTGTTGTTTTTTGGCACCCCCTTGCATGAATGCTCCTCCTCTTACTCTGGATCTTGCATTTTGCTCATCAGCATCTGACTTCCAGCAGCCTCTGTCGTCTGGCCTGATTCATAGTCTCCACAGCCTTTTGAGCCAGCTGCTACCTGATGATTTGGATTCATCAGCACCTGTAAACACGTGAGTCGGGAGGAATCTCTCACCTGACATTTGAACCATGGATTTGAGCCTCCACAATAGTGTAAACCATTTCCCTACCCTTTACAGGGAAGGTGTGAGTCAGAATCTGCCAGAAGGCATTAGGTTTGGGGGCTTTATAGCAAGGAGAATGGCTTATTAAAAAAGCAACAACAACAAAAAAATCCCCACTTTCACAAAGAAAGGCCTAGAACCAGGTGGCCTCACTATCAGTCTACCTAGCTTTGAGGACAAATCCATAATACCAATTCTTAACAAACTACCAACCATTTGTTAAGGCGATTCTATCCTGTCTATAGATCTACAGATCTATAACTGTCCTGGCACCCTGTTGCACATCATTTTAACTCTGAATGTGAGGGTTGGCTTTTGGGCTCTATTGCTTTGATCTGTATGAACTGTCCTTAAGCCAGTATCATGCTGTCTTGATTAACGCAGCTTTGTAAGTTTTGAATTGAGTAGAAGAGGAACATTTCCTAACTCTTTCCCATGCGGCCAGTATTACATGTATACTAAAACTGGACAAAGATCACAAGAAAATAAAATTACAGTCACTATCTCTTATGAAAAGCTTTTTTTAAAAAACCCTCCAGAATATTAGCAATTTTAATACAGCAATATATTAAAATGGATTATACAAGGGGGCTCAAAAAGTTCATGGAAAATGGAATTTGCCACCAGGGCTCTTGAATGGTTAATGGTGCAATACGTCCCCCACAAACACAGACTACCGTCCATCAGGAATAAGGCAAGGATGCCTGCTGCCAGCACCGTGGATATTCTAACCTGGACAATTAGGCAAGAAAATGAAATAAAAACTTTCAGTTTGGATAGGAAGAAATAAACCATTTGCATACATACTCTTGTATGTAGAAAACCCTATGGAATCCACTAAAAATCTTAGAACTTCATCAAATTTACAAGAGTTGGGGGTCAATATCTAAAACCCCACCGTATAAGCATTTACCCAAGTGCCAAGTTCAGGGATTGAGGAAAGGAAATGAGACCCAGGGAACAAGTGGGGTGAATGAGGGCACATTATAATCAAGGAGTCATGTAAAACTAATGATCTGCTTTAAAAACCTTCACATAGTTGGCAGTAGAAACTAATGAGGGGGAAAAAATCAATTGTACAAGGGGGCTTCAAAAAGTGTGTGGGGAAAATGGAATTGAAAATGATGGCATTTTCAGTTGCGGCGGGACTGCGAGCGTGACTCAGCTGCCTCCCGCGTTGCCCGCGCCATTGCCTCTGCGGCACCAGGATAGGGAGAAGAAGAACACCAGGCGCATCGCGCTGACTGGCCGGGCCGATGGCAGTGTCATCGAGTTCGAAATCAAGAGGCACACGCCGCTGAGCAAGCTGATGGTGTCGCCCCGTGAGCGACAGGGCTTGCCAATAAGATGGATGAGATTCAGGTTTGACGGACAGCCAATCTACGAAACAGACACCCGCCCAGCTGGAGATGACGTATCCCAGCAGCAGAAGGGCTGCCCTCGGGTGGCTGGAGGCCCCTTGGGATGTGGCCTCTGGGCACCGTCCCACACCCGTGTCACCTGCCCTTGCATTTGCGATCAGGGGTAAACACAAAGGCGTCTGCAGAAACTCGGGGACAGTCACCAAATTACTTGTCTCTGACATACTTTGAGAGCGACCCAACATTATTTCTGCAGGGATTAACCTACAACCGAAATAGAATTTGCTGTCTTTGTTTAGGGAAACTGCGTTGCGAGGCTTGTGGGGCTTGTTTTGTGATTATATCCCTTTCCTGTAACACTTTGGCTTCAAACATGTAACCTGCCTGTCTGTTTTCAGTCTGTTGGCCCAGCTGTGGCCCCAGCTGTGTGGTCTCCGCTCCCCACACTGTTGCAGCCAAGCATGTAGGTGGCTCCTGTGCGCATGCGCACTGCTTTCGGTGCCGCGCCTGCGCAGCTGTTTGTGGGGCCTGGTGGGGATGGAAGAGGATTTCACTGGCTGCTTGTTGCAGGCACAGTTTATTACATTTTAAACACAGGTTGCAAATGTAAGCTTTGTTCATCATCGGGTAAAGTCAAAGGGCAGATACTAAAATGCTGCTTCAAAGGCAAACAAGGGACACCGTGGGGCTCTTCCCTAGTGTGTCCCCGCAGGGCTCTGGGCCTAGAGTCGCCAGCACCACTGCTCAGGGCCTGTCCATCGGTGCTGCGGCAACCATTGCAAATGGGCTGCTCCCCTTTTATTCATGTAGGAGATAACCGTGGCCACAGTCCCCTTCCGTGGTCTCAGTTCTTCCGGTATGTGTTTCTGCTGCGTAATCATGGTCTCTGTCGGAAAAGGTAACATTAAGGATTGCTGAACTTGCCCTTGCGTTGTGTTTCCCAGCTACTTCGGAGTGTGGGGACAGAGAAAGCCCATAGACAGATGACTTCGTGTTAGTCTCCTGGATTTTTGCTGTGCTGCTTTCCAAAGACAGATCGAATCTATAGCCACTAGGACGGTGATTCAGTTCTGCGAACTATTTGGGGATCTCTACCAATTACAGAGTCTCCCTATGCTGCCTATTGCCCTTTAGTAAGGAAGGGTTATTGCTGCTTGACGGCCATTCTCCGCTTTGCGTCTTCACCTGGCGGTGTGACGTGATCCTTCATCTCTTGCTTGTGTGAAATCTTGCTAAGAATCTTCCTGTTTCCATTGCAGTTTGCTATGTGGCAGGGGTGGGGTGTTTGTTGGCTCTGTTGCGCTTCTTCACCAGTTTGTACATTATTTATTGTCCTTTGCTATCATAAACAGAAAATATAGTTTTGGTATTCTGCCAGAGAAAAAAAGAGGAAAACAATGGAATTTTTTCATGAAGTGTTTGAAGCCCCCTTATAGGCCTGCACGAAACCAAGCCCACTGCTGCTGAGTCTCCTGACTCACAGCAACCCAATAGGCCAGAGTGGAACTGGTCCTCAGGTTTCCTCAGACCAACTATTTATGAGAGCACACAGCCTTATCTGTCTCCCTTGGAGCACTCGATGGGCTTGAACCACTGACGTGCGCTTAATGGATGAAAGCACGGGGGCTCCTGGGAGCAATTGAAACCAAAACAGTGGAAAGGACAAAACATCGGGAGTAATAAGTAACAAAATGGTAATATCAGAGATGTTCATGGATTGTCAGACATTATAGAGGCAGCAATATGCTTCAATGTCCCAGCAAATGGTGCCGGGACAAGTGGATAGCCACAGGGAAAAGACTGAATTGAGACCCCCTGTCTTAGTTACCTTGTGCTGCTTTAACGACCTGCCACAATTGGATGGCTTTACAAAGCATCTACTTTCCCAGAGTTCAGGAGGCAAGAAGGTGCTCATCCTTGAGGAAGACTCTCTCTTGCCCCTTCTGCTTCTACTCCTGGATGATCATGGCTGTCTTCATTTGGCATGGTATTGATCTCGTGCTCGCGCTTGCTTGCTTGCTTGATCTGCTCTTTTTATATCTCAAAAGAGATTGGTGTGAGATACGTTAAACATGCATACTGCCTCCTTAACATAACAGAAAAAACCCATTCCCAAATGGGATTATAACCAAAGACCTAGGGATTAGGGTTTATAACACAGGGACCAGTCCCTGGAGAAGGACATCGTGCTTGGTCACGTGGAAGGGCAGCAAAAAAGAGGAAGACCCCGAAGAGATGGATTGACACTGTGGCTACGGCAATGGGCTCAGGCATAGGAACGATTGTACGGATGGTGCAGGCCTGTTCAGGGTTTTGTTCTGTTGTGCAGAGAGGGTCGCTATGTGGGTCCATGACACCTAATAACAACAACAACTCAATCTGCAACAATTGAAATCAAATTAAGAACAAATTTACTAACTAGCGGTCCAGCTCCTACACCAAAAACTGAAACTTAACTGCCATCAGGGATGCCGACTCATAGGGACCCTGTAGGACAAGGTAAACTCACTGCCTCTGTGAGTTTCCAAGACTCTCTTTACAGGAGGAGAAAGCACCATTTTTGTCCCAAAGAGCAGCTGGTGGTTGCAATTAGCAGCCCAACATGTAATCACTCTGTCACTAGGGCTCCTTTCAGTTCATACATGCATTTATGCCACACAAAATGTGTTTAAACATGTCTCTGAGATCAGTACAGGAGCCCCCCTGGTGGCATAGTAGCTACACATCAGGCTGTAGACTGCTAGGGGACACTGGGGGTGAGGTGGCAGGATTGGGGTATGGAGTGAGCCTAATAAGGGTGGCATTGATGGAGTGACGACACAATTTTGGGGAGGTAGTATGAATCAAAGTATTTAGGGAATGACACAGTGAATTGAAAAATAAAGGGATTTTTAAAAAGGGAAATATAGAACCAATAATACAAGACCACGGAGGCTTTAGGGTCTAATAAGGGCATAATTGTGGGAATGAAATATTGGAATTTGGAGTAAAAAGAGGAGCCCCAAAGTTGATGGTATGAAAAGGGTCATGATATTGCACATCAGTGTATAACATTTGAGGAACAAGATGATTTGGCTTGGGGAGTAGTCTATGAGGGGATTCATTGAAGGAATGATACTGAGCAATCTATCCTGGGTAGTCACTGAGGTACTATAGAATAAGGGATCATAAGGCTATGTGAATCGGTAAACAATGGGACTGTGTTTGGGGAGCACCTGATTAGGTACTGGGATTCATTGGGTAGTCAATAAAGGGAGGTTGATGAAACATTCGCGATTGAAAGCTGGAAATACAGTGATGAGTACATATGTGGTGGCACCTTGGAGATCTAATTTTGGAGAACAGTGCCACTGGTTTTCTTAGGGCTTTTAAGCACACACGGACATGGGGGCAGTGGGTGTCTTAAGGTGCCACTCAAAGTATGGAGGACAAGATACTAAGCAAGTTGTGATAAGGGGGAAGTCCTGGTGGGGCAGTGATTATGTAGTGGACTGCTCACCTCGAGGACAGCAGTTTGAAACCACCAGGCACTTCTCAGGAGGGAAAAAATGGGGCTTTCTGTTGCTGCAAAGAACAGAAACCCACAGAGGCAGTTCTACCCTGTCTTACAGGGTCTTACAAGGTCACTCACCGTGAGTCGGAATCCACTCAAAGGCAGCGAGTTTGGTAAATTGAGTGATAAGGGATTGTGGAAGCTGGAACAGGGAAACCACAGGGAATAATGCTGAAAACAATGCGCTTATCTCAAAGTCTAGAGTTTAAGGGGGTGGGGGGCTGAGTCAAAAGTAAAGCACACTAGAATCAATCTCAACTCAGAATGGCAGGGCAGAAAGACCTCCGAAGGGTTTGCACGATTGTAATCTTTCATCAAAGATGACCGTCTTTCTCTCTCAGAGCAGCTAGCAGGTTCAAACAGTCCACCTTCCCCTTAGCGTGGAGTGCTTAGCCACTGCACTGCCAGGGCTGCGTCACCTGAGGGGCTGTTCTGGGGCAGAAATGCCTCGATAATAAAGGCAAGTGGGGACCGTAGACTGAGAGGCAATGGGATGGGGGCACGCTTGCTGTTGGGGGACAGTCGGGATGGATCCTGGCCTGGTGCAGAGGCCTGATATGGAGAAAGGTGACGCTGGTCAGTGGGGATGCTAGACCTTAGCATGCGGGGGAGGGAAATGAAGTCTGTCTGGGAGAGACTCCAGGGCATGCTGTGAAGATAACCGGGAGAAGATTAGGTCTGTTGGTGGGACCCAATGCATGGGTGGGAATTAACGAAGAGTTGAAAAAGGAGTGAAGGAAACGGAAAACAAGCGTGATTTATTCCATCAGAGGCACCACCATTACAGACATTCTGAATATGCGGTGCTAGAACAATGCGTGTATTCATTTTACATCGGAGAGTAAACGGAGATGGCAGGTACGTGAATAACACTCCACGGTGGGTTCTGGTTCGAGGCTGCTTCTCAGAGATGACAAACCCGTAAGGTCATTTTCCAAAACACGCTTTTCAGTATCAGATCCCAACTGGCTTCATCTTGGGACTCACCGCTCCGAAGGGGCTCCTCACCAGGATGAAGCCCCCTCTTGCCCCGACAGCAGCCTCCAAGGACACCCCTCTCGCCCACCGCCGCGAGTAGCCCCAGTCTTATTCCACATTCTGAGTCCGAGTCCCGGGAGGTCTGCAGCCGCAGGCCCCACGTCGTTCAGGACACATCTAGCTGTCCGGCATCCTGACAGGACAGCTCCGCAGAGGTGGCAACGCCTAAGGCAGGAAAAACACGAGGAGGGGGTCAGCCCGAGAATCGTGCGGCCCGTGCCCAGCACCGCAAACGCCACTCACCGCCTCCTGCGCTCCTGCGCCAGCCGCTGCGCGCTCCTGTCGGCCGCTTCAGCGCTCCGAGTCTGGGGCGCGCCGACTCTGGCACCGAGCAGGCTCTCCTTGGGCGCCGAGCAGCGAGCATCACGGCCCATCCCGGGCCACGGCATCCACCCTCCCCGCGTGGCCCTCAGTAGAAGGCTGTGGGCTTGGGTCTGGATCCTTTCTAACAGAAGGCTGGGTTGCTGTGCGTTGCCCCAAACACAAAATGAATAAGGTTCCCTGCTGGTGTGTGTCCAAGCTCACAAAGTGGTAGGACCCAGGGACATCACAAACGAGGTTCGATTGCACCCCAAGATTCCAAGAATGACCCCGGAAACAGCCAAGTGCTAACAGCGCCCGCACGCCATGCCGAAAGCTAGGTGGAGGCGGAGTGGGGGTGGCGCCAGGACCTCCTAAACCCCTAATCATGAACTGCCGAGCCCTTTCCCCGCTCCCCTCCCCCTCGGTCCGTGCCCAGCCCACCCCAGCCCGCCAGGCGCCTTAGGCGAGCTGTAAATGGATGTAGGTGAAGATGCAGGAGGTAATGGAGAAGGCGATGGCCGCGTAGATGAAGATGGAGAGGTGCGGGAAGTGGTCGAGATAGCAGCCCTCGTCCAGCGGAGGCACGTCCTCCCGGGGCCTGGGGCGAGCGGCAGCCTCCCGGGGGCCTGGAGCCTTCGCGCCCGCGCGCCCACCAGCTTTTTCGGCCGCGGGCTGGGGCGCGAGGACAGCGGCCAGCTTCTCCGGGGCCTGCTGACCAAACAGGCCTTCGGAGCTGGGGTCTTGGTCGGGGCGAATCTGCTCGGAGCCCCGGGGTTTGCGGAGGAAGGGTCCGGCAGCCATGGGTGGGGAGCGCTGGAGGACCGTCGGTTTGGCTGGGGAAGAGAAGCGAGCCAGGGGCTCGGACCGCAGTGTGCAGTGCTCCGAGGCGCAGCGGTATTTCTAGCAGCTGGGCGGGGGCTCTCAGTGGAGACGCCGCCCCCTGCTCCTCCTTCCGCCCCCAGCCTGTTGCATAGGTTGGCTCCCGCAGTTCTTGCTCCCCAGCTCAGAAGTCTGGGAGACCTGGTTTGTTTCCAAGGTAACGGAGGCTGGGGGGAGGGGTGGGAGGAGGGCCTGGCGCATCCTGGGAACACGGAGGTCGGGGGGATCCAGTTGCGGATGGAATTTCTCCAGGGCTTTCCTTCTGCTTTTTAAAAATATATTTATTGTGGAGTCATTTTTTTCTTCATTTAAAATTTCACACCTTAAAATATATTGACTACACGATCTTTGGAGGCAGCACGTCAAACAAAAACGCTAACAAAATAAAAGCCTCCCAGTGTTCAGAGATCGCAAAGTTAAAGGGGTTGATGGATGCATTTCTCCTCGGCCTAAAACCTTCTTCCCCTCTCTCCATCTCTATCCCTAAAGGATCCCCTGGGTTTCACTAGCATTTCTCTTCTTGACCCTCATCGGTAAATTCAGCACCTCAGCCTTTAGAGAGGGGGTTGGGGGTGGTGGAGGGAGTGCAGTCTGCGGTCTGTGTAATGCAGCTTCAAGCACACTGCCATGCGTTGGTTCTGACTCACGGCGAGACCCTGTAGGATAGGGCAGAACTGCCCCTGTGAGTTTACGGGACTCTAAAACTGGAAGGGGAGCCGAAAGCCCCTGGCTTTCTCCCTCGGAGAGGCTGCTGGTTTTGAACTACTCACCTGGCAGTTAGCAGCCTAACGCTTAACCATGACACCACCAGGACTCTTTGTGGGCCGTATAATGTGCGGGGAAATCATCAAAACCAGCTCACATCACACTATCACCAGAGAAACAGTCCCAGGCATCACATTAGGGATTAGTTAGTTAAATGTTTGGCCAAATATAGCAGAGTTGATACTTTTGTATGGTCCGCTATAATGATGTTATAAATATCCAAATGGCCCCTGGCAGAAAAAGGTTCCCTACTCTGCTTTAGAGCATCTTACCTACAATGAGGAACAAGTGCTTTCAAAGACCAGCCTGGCCGAGCCCATTTGTTCCCCTACCCTGCTTGGTCCCTCTTGGGCACCCATCTGGCCCATCGCTGACTTCCCAGATGACTAATATGCCAGCATGTGAGGCACCACCATCTCCTGGCACCTGTGTCGCTCAGGAGGGTTCAAATGTGATAGATGCTTCCTGGTGAATTAGGAGGGAAAAAGCACTGACATTTGTTGGAGTCCTAGTGGTCTGGGGGAGGGGTGTCCATGGGCCTGTCAGTAGAAGTTTCCCAGGGAATTAATTCATCACCTCCTGCAACTGCAAAGCAGGAGCCCTGGTGGCATCATGGTTACAAGTTCAGCTGCTAATGGCAAGATCACTAGTTTGAAACCACCAGCTGCTCCACAGGTGAAAGACGGGGTTTTCTACTCCCACAAGAGCAGTTCCACCTTGTTGTAAAAAGTCACTATGAATCAGCATTGATGGGATGGCAGTGAGTTCGATTTGGTTTAGCAACTAAAAGGCTGGGACCTGGGTGCTGAAACAGTTACCAAGATGTATCATCTTTTCCGTTTACAGTGTTGTCTGAGCAGCCTCTCTCCATTTTTGCAGCACTGCCCCCTCATCACTCTATCTTCTAGCCATCTCTCCATCTTTCTGTATTACCAGGATACTATCTCTCTCTTCTTCATAGTGTTTACGTGGTGCTGTCTCTGTACACTTTTTGGCTCTGTTTTCCTCTACGTTAGTTGTATCCACAGCAGGAAAGACCTTATGCAAGGCAGAAATATAGTACCCTCTCCCTTTACCACCACACACACACACATTGTCCTTCCTTCTCTTTGCTTCCTTTTCCCTCAAAACATTGTGCTACTTGGCATTAACTGTGGTTTTTTAAAAATCATTTTATTGGGGGCTCTTATAGCTCTTATAACAATCCATACATCCATTGTGTCTAACACATTTGTACATATGTTGCCATCATCCTTTACAAAACACTTTCTTTCCACTTGAGCCCGTGTTTATTAGGTCCTCATTTTTTCCTCCCTCCCCGATTATGATTTTCATATCTTACACTGTCTGCTGTATCCCTTCACCCATGATTCTGTTGTCTGTCACCCTGGGTGGGTGGGGGTTATATGTCAATCATTGCTTTCGGTTCCCTCTTTCACCCTCTACCTTCCCCCTACCCTCATGGTATTACTACTTCTATTATTGTACCTGAGGGGTTTATCTGTCCTGGATTCCATGTGTAGAGAACTCTTGTCTGTACCAGTGTACCTGCTCTGGTCTTGTTGGATTTGTAAGGTAGAACTAGGGTCATGATAGTGGGGGAGAGGAAGCATTAAAGAACCAGAGGAATGTTTTGTCGGTGCTATCCTGCACACTGGTTCATCCCGACCTTGCGACCCTTCTGTGAAGGGATGTCCAATTGTCTACAGATGAGCTTTGGGTTTCCACTCCACCCCACCCCCCTTGAGTCTGGGCTCTTAAATTGAAGATAAACAAGCAGCCATCTAGCTGGAAAGCAACAAAGCTCACATGGAAGAAGCACACCAGTCTGTGTGATCAAGAGATGGCGATGGGATCAGGTTTCAGGCACCAGAAGACAGGCCTTAATGGTTTGTTTGATAGTTGTTTCTACCACTAGACGCCAAGGCCAAGGACTTCTTGCGCAGCCAGAGTCCAGCAGGTGCTCAGATAGTATTTGCTGAATGAGTGGCCATTGCCAGTATTCTCACAGAAGCTCATGGAATAAGAGCTTCTACTTGATGAGGCCATGGACAGCAGCAGACCCTCAAACACTGATGTTGGAAATGTCAAGTGGTGCTGCCACCTTGGAAAACAGTTTGGCAGTTTCTTAAAAACACAAACTTATCATCTGACCCATCAATTCCACTCCTAGGCAGCTATTCAAGAGAAATGGAAACACATGCCTGCATATACTAGTACGCAAATGATATAAGCATTATTAGTAATATGAGGGAGTGTAAAAAACCAACCAACCACTGGTACACATAAGAACTGGAGACATACCAGAGGGACTCCACAGAATCCAGCCCAGGAGAGTTGCTTAGCGGGAACTTCAACACAGCTGGAATGCAGGAGGAGCATCATAAAGATAAGTAGGTACAGACCCACAGGGTTTTGAGGGACTGGGGGCTTTTGGCTTACCTCAGTGGAAGCTGGCTGGGGCTTGACCTTGGCCCCGCCACTGTCTCTGCTGGAGCCGGGACCATTTAGAGCCCGTAAGAGGGATTGGTCTCAACACAGCCATAGTTTTCCCCCGCCTGCCTCTGGGCAGGGACTAGACCCTGGCAGCTCCACGGGCAGGAATCGGGGTTCAGCTAGATTGTTGCTTTTGTTTACATCTCTGCTCTCTGTTCCCCCACAGTCCTCGAGGTCTGCACAGGGGCTTTTTCTCGGCACAGCCACAGCTTGCCACCATCACCTTGGGGTGGGGATTAAAACCTCGCATCTCCACGGGCAGGGATCTGGGTTCAGCTACATTGTTGCCTTTGTTTCCATCTCTCCTCTCTGTCCCCCCACGGTCTTTGAGGGCTGTGCAGGGGCTTTTTCTCCACTTAGCTATGGCTTGCCACCGACCACTGCCTTGGGGCAGGGACTAAATCCTTGAAGCTCCACAGGCAGGAGCTGGACTCAGCTACATAGTTGCTTTTGTTTCCCTCTCCTCTATATTCCCACACAATCTAAACGGTCTTACTTTTTAATTTTTTTCTCCTCTTTGTCTCCTTCCTGTTCTCTCACACTCCACTGCTGACCTCCAGACCACTCCCCTTATCCTAGGGCATTTACGCCTGCACTACACCCAGCTAGGTGAGTTCCACCCTGTGTAGCTAGCCCGAGGCTAGGAAAGGCCCTGCTTTCCATCCAGGGGATACTTTGCCCAACTTATCACCGGGGAATTCCTGCCTGTGTACTTGGGGGCATAAGACAGCCCGGCCAACACTCATCAACATTCCAAGCTGTTGCAGAAACCTCTGCCCAACCTCTGCAATACCAAAGCAGGCAACCCACCAGCCTTCTGGGGCATTCCTCTGTTAAGGAAGCCACAGGAGGATAAAGTGGTAGGTTAATCCCATAGTAAAATTAGCTGTACGCAGTTCGAAGAAGCATTCCTACAAGTCTCCCAGAGAGAGCCAGTGCTCTTCAACTCCCTGTAAAATGACACCTGGCTCCTCTAAAACAATACAACACAAACAACCATCAGCCCCAACGACCTCAACGAAGAAACAGGAGAAACAAAAGGCAATGGCAGAAGATGTCCTGAACATAACGACATGCATAGAAGACGCAGACATTGAGCTGCCACAGAAAGAAAATTTCAAAATGCTGCTTGGAGTCATACAGGATATGAGGGAAACAATACAGAAAAAGGATGAAATGATAGAGGAGATAAGGCCATATACCAAAGGGAAATACAGGAGCCTAGGGAGGAGATAAAAACCAGTATCAGGAACATGGTCTTTGAGAATCGACTGGAGGAAGCAGAAAACCGACTGGAGGAAGCAGAGAACCGCATCAGTGACTTGGAGGACAGCCAAGCAGACTTTAATAAACATGAACAAAAATCTAATAAGATCATCAGAGAAGCTGAAGAAAACCTAAGAGCTATGTCTGATGCTATGAAGTGGAACAGCATTAGAGTTATTGGCTGACCGAAGGAAGACACAACATAGAAGTCATCTGCAACAATAGTGAGAGAGTTCTTGGAGGAAAAATTCCCCAGCTTAATGAATGAAAACCCGGCAACCATTCAGGAGGCTGAAAGAACACCAACTAGATGGAATCCCAAGAAGAAGTCACCAAGGCACATAATAGTTAAACTATCCAACTTTGTGGAAAAGGAGAAAATCATGAGAGCAGCTAGGGAAAAACAAGCAATCACATATAAAGGTTCCCAAATAAGAATATTCTCAGACCTATCAGCGG